CAGCAGATCCCGTGAACGACGCCGCCCAGACCCATGATCTGTCACGACACACACGACACGCCTCGCCAAAACGTGAGTCGCGCGCTGGTGCGTGTGGCGTGTGTGCGGGCCACGTACGTGATCGCCGTGGAGGTGTGTGATGAAAATGTGCTCCACGCTCTGGAGCGTCAGCCCGGGGCACTTCATGAACTGATGCTGCGTCGCTTCACCGCAGTCCACCATTATGGTTCGGCTCTCTGTGTGCGGTGGTCGATCAGCCTCGAGGCGCATGCTGGAGAAATGGCAGGCACGCACCGAGCTTGATGGCGATGGAGGTGACATTGCGCTCAAGCGAAGGCACGCCCGAACCCGTGCCCAGGAAGGCCACAGCCATACCCCTGAATTCTGTACAACGCAAGAAAAATTAAAACGAAAAATAAATTAAAAAAAACAAATTAACAATTTATAAATTACGATACGAACGGAAAAAAACTAATCCGAATCCCCCTCATCAAGCAGGACGTACCTTGATGAGGGGCGCTAGGCTCCGGTGCCGCCGGGCGATTTGGAGAGGCAGCACGCGATGAGGAGAGGAGGGCACTAGCATGAAATGAGCGTCGGGGTGAGGAGCAGCCAAAGGGCGGCGACGCCGTTGGCAGCCGCAACCGTTCTGCCGACACCCTTCCGTACTTGGAAGGGGCAAGGCCCCATGTCACGATGTGCCCTCGTCGCATCTCCCCGTGTTGATGTGAAAACCCTTGTTTTTCTGCCTCCTTTTCTCTTCTTTCCGTCGCAACGCACACGCACCGCACACGCACACGCACACGCTTGCGACAAAGGAAACAACGTGTTTATGGAAGAAGATGTACAGGCTAACAACACACACCACACACAATATTTTTTGAACGTTCACACGGGCGTCGGGGCAGAGAGGGAGCGCTAATTGTCGGCTCGGCTCAGCAGGCGCTGATAGACTGATGAGAAGGAGAAGAAGGAGAAAGAGAAGAGGTGATGGTCAGCCCTAAAGAAGAGGGAAGGAGCGAGGACGCGATGCGCGGACGTACCCTCCTTGAAGCGATCGCGGCTCGCCGTGCAGTGGACCAGCTGGTTCTCCAGCATGACTGCGCGCTCCTTCAGCTCGACGGCACCGAGGGCGAACAGCTCCGAGAATCGATCGTCCGTGAGCTTACGGAAGTGATCCGTCACCTCACCGCCCAGCCTCTGAAACCTGT